TACAAGTATTGATATCCTTCTGATCTATTGTAGCCTGCTAAATTTTGGCTATTTTTTGTAACCTTCGTCTTAAGACATACTTCCTTCCTATCTACTACTTTAAAAATTAAAATTGTCATTAACTTATTTTGTCTTTATAATATAAGTTTAATGTCAATTAAATTCTAGAATAAATGGTTCCTGTAGACTGTATAATTCTTTATCAATAAACAATGATTTACCTACAATGTCTCAGCTATTGTATTTTATAGGAAATTAGAAGATACGTTAGATGCCTTTGCTGACAGAGTTTCAAAGCCACGTCTATATTTGACAGATAAGATGCAGATTGCTCTAGGTAAATTTTGATTACCCATGATTCCACTTATAACCTTTTTGCTTTATTACCAATTACCATTAGTTTTCATAAAGCAAGATTCATAATTTTGGATAGTTTGTTCTACCCATATAAAAATCAAAACCATACAAGATAAGAACAATCACGAGGCAGAATAGAAAGACTTGATTCAAGATACAAGATGATATGCAAGGGAAAGAACCAGAGGGATCCCCATACCAAATTATCATATAAAGAGAAGTGAGATTTAAATTATCGATGGAACTTGATGGAGAAACAATTGAGCAACTCCAAATTTCTTAGGTTTCTCCTTGAAATCATTAAGGTTTGCTGCAATATTCTAAGCCTCTTTGCAAGAAACATCTTCAAGTATCATGTAGTAATGCTCCAACCAAATACTCCATAGAATAGCCAAACTACCTAGTCGCCAAGAAGATCTTACCATAACGACCAACCTCAAAAAGGTCAATAGTAACTCATCCGTCATCCCCCAGAAACCAAGTTACATGCAAAGACAACCCCTAAAAATCTGAAAAACATTGTCCTATACACACACAGCAGAAGAACAATGTACCATTAGGTTATTATAGTCATCAATCGATTCCTTCCTTAGAATGGGAAGAAGATGAATACAAACATTTCTTTGGGTGATGGCCATAGTATAAATTCTCCCACACTGTAAAGTTACAGCCTTATTTTGAAAAATATGGAAGCTCTAAAATTTTCTGACCAGAACTCTAATTAATGTGGAAACTTTAGAAAGACCCAGCACATTGAAAAAACAACTTTCTAAAAGTTTCAGCCTGACTCAGAGTCTTATTGAGTGGTACAGACAAGACTTGTCTCTGTATTGGAGGTAATCAGTCTAAATGTCCTAAATTTGAGAATTAGTAGACGGCATTTATTTATTTTTTGTAATTTTTTTAAAACAAGATACGAACTTTTCATTAAATATATGAAAAAGAAAAAAATTGTTCAAAGACACAAACTCGTATAGAAAGTAAAGAAAAGAGCAAAAGGCATCATAATAAAAGTACAATTACTACTTTCAGATAAAAGCTTCCCAATTATAAAGAATCATGCTAGGTGAATAAACATCAAATGAGTTGGAAAGAGTACACCATTGTGAAGCTTTGAACTTGGCCTCATTGAAGCAATCCATAGCCAATTAGATGGCATTTATTATTTCTCTCCTTTCTTATGAGAGTTTGAGAAGACACAATAGTCTTTTAACAGAGGTCATGGTGATTTTAGTACTTTACCAAGCCATTGCGGTTTTATAATCTTACATAAGCTCTAACGCACACTTCTCAATTGCTTGCAGCTGGGGGTTTGGGTCATGGTGTAGCCCATGCTGTGTTTTTCTGTCTTAGCCTTTTAACACCATCGTTTGGTCCCGCGACTTACTTCGTTGATAGGTGCTCCCAGCTACCATTTTTTTTTGTTTCTGGTGAGGCTTGCTTTACTCATATTTATTTGTGTAAATACTTTGTATATCACTGTGAGCTATATGTTGCCCAAGAAATCATGATTGTCATTCTCTGCTTTGCAAAACCCTGCATTTGACCGTTCCTGCTATTCTGAGAGTTCATTTGTCCACATAGCATGTTTCTGTTCGTTAATTTCTTGTACATTTTAAGACTGGTAAAGGAATCGCTGTTATTCTATATTTTTACTTGAAGTTGATAATTGAAGGCGACTTATCAAGCAGTATTTTGCTGGTAATCCTGCAGCTATCGTTGCCCTTGCATTTGTTACAATCCATACTTTCTCTATGGTCATTGCATTTAATGGATATTCTGAGGGGAAGAAAGTGGATCAGTATTTTGTTCCAGTCATTCATCTTGCTGCAGGAATGGTGGTAAAACCCTAATCTTACTCTGGTTCGTTGATTCTTTTTTTCAGTTCTAGTTAATTCAAATGAAGAAAAGTAGCTTTCACCTAAATGCTCATCGTGTAGATTTTACAATCAAACCTTTGCTACTTAGGTTTTTATTTTAAATTTAGTTTTGCTTAGTAAGAGACAATACACTTCAAAGGGAAAAACAAGAAGCAACCTAATGGCCGGGGAAGACCACACCAACAGAAGTTACATGATGCACCCCAATTAACGTGTATATCTGGCCTAATCAAACAAGGGCTGACCCCTTTGAGTAGGAGTCTTGGTGTCCAGCCTAATCTTCCATATAAAATCCGAGGGCTGCCCCCTTTGTGTAGGAGTCTTGGTGTCCAGCCTAATCTTCTTTTCATTCCATAACAAAATGCAACCAACTTTGACTTCACAATTTCGATTCTCTCCACTAAAGAGCAGGAAATATTTGTAGTTTGCCTAATAAAAGAGACTCTAGGGTCTCAACATCATTATAATAGTTACTAAGTGAAGCCTTGGATTTTCATGATTGTTGATAGTTTTCTTGGAAAATATCCATTATGAGTCGAAACTTTATTTCCATGCCTTGAATACTGCATTTTTCGTCTTCTCCTTTGCACCCATAGCTGCAAGTATAAGCTTACGCATTCTGCCTTTAAACCCACCCCATAAACGTTCTGTACTTCCAGCATTTGAAATTCATAGATTTTGTTATTTTTTTTTTAAAGTAAGAAATTCATAGATTAAGATTAGTACATCACAAATCATATTTTTATGGGTCCGTTTGGTAACATTCTTGCTTATCATTTTTTGTTTCTCATTTCGTTTTTAATAAATAAAAACAGAAACATGTTTGGTAACTGTTTCTTATTTCTTGTGCTTTTTTCTTTTATTGATAAAAGAAACAGGAGCATGTTTTTGCAAACCTTTTGTATTTCTCATTCTCTAAAATTTTAAATTAGAAAAAGTAAAATTTTTATGTGAAAATTAATTTTTAATATTTAATGTTCAATTTTTATGTTATATTTTTATTATGCATTTATTAGTCAATAATGATAAACTAATAGATATATTTATGTTTTGGAAAAAAAATAGAAACGGGAACTATAAATAAGGAACTTGATTTTATTGTTTCCACACAATTTTGGAAACATTTCTAAAAAATGAAAAATGGGAAGTAGGAACAGTTACCAAATGCTTATGTTTTTAAAAGATTAGAAACTAGTAATGTTACCCAACGAACTCTATTATAGACTGCTAATTTTTGAAGAGTTTTTGGGATTCCTTGGTCTTCATATAGTTTAGTAATTTTGAAGTTTAGGCAGATGGCAAGGCCATGTTATTGACTTCTTACATTGATACAGAACTTCAGAAACAACTAACAAATTCCATTATTTGGCCATGCCATGGTATAACTGATCTGATATTTCACCTGATCCAATCATTTCTTTTATTTTCTTTTTCCCCCTAATATTCTGATTCATAGTTTACCTTTTGTTTCCAGACGCTAGTAAACTTTGCATCTGGAGGTTGTGTAATTGGTATACCTCTCCTATATATCATGGCAATTCTAACATTGATTCACTGTGGGAAAATGGTTTGGAGAAGATTGATGGAAAACCGAAATCGACAGGGTAACCGATGATGAACTCATCTTCTGCAGTAATATTGCTAACTCAGCATCTCGAAGGCGTCTTGAAGAGAACATCTATTCCCGCAGGTGCAATATCCTTGTTTGCTTCATCTACTATTCATCTGGGTAATTGCTAGTGAAACACCCATATTTTTGTAAGAACACGACAAACATGACTTTGTGGCCTACGAAAATGCCATTACATTTCTTCTGAACAAGAATAGAGTATTAACATGATATCAGATTTCATCAAGTTTTGATTGCATTTCTTTATTGCTGATGTGATGATGAATTCTTGACCTGTTCATCCAGAGATTTTGTTTTGGCTTCAGTGTCCAAAGATTTTTGTAAGTACCCCTTAGATTCGATCTTGTTAGGATCTTGCTAGATTGGAGCCCGTTCTTTTAGTTTGACTCTCTTTTGTTGGGCTATTTTTTCGCATGTCCCTTAGAATTCTTTCATTCTTCTTGATGAAAGATGTCTCTTTCTGAATAAAGAAAACTGCTCTTAGCAGCCTTTGCTCAAGTATTAATACATTAACAAATGACAAGAAATATTTCTTAAGCATAGAGATTATAAGTCTATGAATAATAAGTGTCTCTTAATTTTTTTAGTTGTGTTTTAGTGCTTAAAAAAGTTCCAATAGGGTTTTGAAAACCTTTATATCATCTCTATACTCTAAAAAGATTTTAATCGGTCAATTTCTAATTGTGTCTAATAGGTCTCGAACTATCATATTTTGTGATTAATAAAAGCATAATCTGTTTGATATTATAAAAATTGATAGATCTATTGTGTAGAAAATTTAAAGGTTTTGTCTCACTAGACAATTTTATTTTGTATCTAATATGTTCATGAATAAATAAAAATGTAAAATTACTTAAGAATCTAGTATATACAAAACTAATTTTTAAAGTTTATAGATCTATATGACACAACTCTAAAAGGTTAGTGTTTAAAATTTAGGGGAAAATACACTATTATTCTTGAACTTGAGTTTCAAAAAGTAACAGTTTTGTCTCCGACCTTTCGCTAACGGAATGCTGCGTTGAATTGGATATTTATTTAATTTTATATTATTTACTTTTTAACATATGTGATCTTTTTTTCATTTCTCTTTTTATTTTTCCTTCTCTCTCTTCCTGCCATCCTTCCTGGACTTTTAATTCTTCGAGTGAGTTTGATATTTACTTAATTTTATATTATTTTTAATATATGTGACATTTTTTTTTTCATTTTTCATTTTCTTTCTCTCTCTTCCCCCTCTTTTCCTTCTCTCTTCCCTCCTTCCCATCAATATTCCGTTAGCGACACTAAAGAACTCACAGTGTATTTTATCCTAAAATTAAATGTATAAAAATTTTAATTTAATTTCAAAACTTTCATTTTATTCCATCTCAATTTAATTTTTATTATTGTTATTTTTACTACATTTCCTCTCAAATTGAAAGATTTGTGGGAAATTGGGATTTTTGACCCCTTTCAATAATCACTTTGGATTTTTGACCCCCTTTTTATTTTTATTTATTCATGACTCCTTCCCCTCAGATTTTGACCCCTCCTCTTATTTTATCATGTAAATTGATTAAATTGCCCTCATTTCATAATAAATGCATTTATGATATAATAAATTTCCAACCAACCCACCAACCACCAACTTAACAATTCTCACTTTGTTTTTTCAACTCCAAATCACCACACACACGCAAGTCACGTTTTTTTTTTCCAATACTCAAGATTTTCTCCACGTGATTGTTGGCCCACATTATCCAATCGATCGGTCCCCACATAATCCGTTATCTCGAATCCATTGTTTTCACAATATAGGTATGTCCATTTCATCATTTTAGAATATTGTACTTCTTCAAACTTGTAATGATACAAAATTTTATCATTTTTCTAGAAAAAAACGTTATTTTACGGAAAACAGAAATGAAGTCTAGAATTTATCTTGGACCGGGATTGGTACCGGGATGAAATTTAGAACCGGGTTTGAGACCGAGATAGAAGGTAAACTCAAGCCCGGTCCTTC